CAACTCCCGGAATTATTAGACAAGGGTTTCATTTGCTCTAGTACGTTGCTTTGGGGAGCACCAATTCTCTTTGCTAAGAAAAAAGATGGTGCCTTACGAATTTGTATTGATTACTAGAAGTTGAATCGAGTAACTGTTAAGAACAAGTACCCAATGCCTCGTGTAGATGACTTGTTTGATCAGTTGAAGGGGTCTTGTTGTTTCTCTAAAATAGACCTAAGATCGGGTTATCACCAGTTGAGGGTAAGAGAGGCAGATATCCAGAAGACGACTTTCCGTATGCGATATGTCCATTATGAGTTCCTAGTGATGCCCTTTGGGCTAACCAATGCATCCGCCGTGTTTATGGATTTGATGAATCAGATCTTTCACAAGTTCCTAGACCGTTTTGTAGTGGTCTTTGCTGATGACATTCTGATTTACTCACCCTTCGAGAAGGAACACGAGGAACACTTACGAGTTGTGCTCGAGTTACTTAGAGCCCACAAACTGTATGTTGTTAAGTTCAAGAAGTGTGAATTATGGTTGAAAGAATTTAAGTTCTTAGGCCACGTGGTATCCGGAGAAGGAGTGACTGTAGATTCATCCAAGATAGAAGTCGTACAAGATTAGGAACAACCTAAGAGTGCCTTTGAGATTCGTAATTTCTTGGGGTTGGCTGAGTATTACTGTCAGTTTGTGAAGGATTTCTTTAGATTAGCTTCACCATTGACTAGACTGATAAGAAAATGAATTAGGTTTGTGTGGAGTGAGACCTGTGAGAAGTCATTTCAAGAGCTTAAGGTTAGACTTACCACTGCTCCAATATTCATTATTTCGGAGAGAGGTTTGGGCTATTCAATGTATTGTGATGCTTTACGGGAAGGTTTGGGTTGTGTATTGATGCAAGAGGGGAAAGTAGTAGCTTATAGCTCACAGCAGTTGAAAACACATTAGAGGAACTACCCTACTCATGACCTAGAGTTAGCAGCAGTGATCTTTGCCTTGAAAATTTGGAGGCATTATTTGTATGGTGAGAAGTTTGAAGTATTTTTTTATCACAAGAGTCTAAAGTATCTGTTTGCACAGAAAGACTTGAATCTGAGACAGATAAGGTGGATGGAGTTTATAGAAGATTATGACTTCGAGTTGCATTATCATCCGGGGAAGGCTAATGTTGTGGCCGATGCCTTAAGTAGGAAATCCATTAGCAATGTAGCTTGTATTTCCATCATAGAATGGGAGATGTTGGGTGCTATTGGCGAGTTTGACTTGCATCTTGGTAAGTCCATTGAATTTGTAACTTTTTTTTCGGTAGTTGCACAACCTACGCTTGTGAGCCAAGTTATAGAAGCACAGAGGGGTGACTTTGAGGTAGAATCCCTCTGGGAGAAGATCTCTAATGGAAAGGTAGAGAAGGGCTTGAACGTGTATTCTGACTCGAGTGCTAGATACCTTGACTGTTTTTTCGTGCCAGAGTCTTTTCGTGTTTGACAATTTTTCGCAGACGAAATATCCGTGAAAGGTTGTACTGGTTTGAGATTTCCTCATTGTTTTTTTATTGTAAAGGACATGATTCGAGAATTGTGATATAAACTTGGCATTGCATGATTTTGGAAAGAAATGTAAAAGCATTTTGGCACTGGCATTGCATATGCATAAAACCTTATGGCTTTGTTAAGATTTATACATTGTGTTGTAGTCTTTCTACTAGGCTTTGGCTCACCCTATGTGGGAAAACCATTTTCAGGTGCTGGTGATATGCCTCCACCAAGGACTTAGCTTGGAAGGATTGTAGAGCTGAAGGCTTAATGTTATATTTTGTGTGTAATTTTGTACAATCTTAGGGCTTTATATATATTGAGCTTAAGACTCACTTTTGATGTACCCAAGCATTAACTTGGAAGATGTAAGCCTTTAAGGCATATGATTATCTGTTTAGCTTTCATTTCTTTTCACTATCTTGTAACACATGCTGTAGATTCAAGATGTACTATTTATGAATGTGTATCGCATGTATCACCTTTTGTATATCAAACTTTGATTAATGAAAGCTTATCAATTCATTTATATTGCTACTCATGGGTTGTTATGAGATGGGTATATTGTATTTATTTCGGGCGTTACACATACTCCGTTTTTGAAAGAACAATGTGACACTTGAATCTAGCTCTCTTGAACCTTGTAATGTTAGCTTCTACCGTCTTGCTAGGAACTTGGATGATTCTTGACAAGTTGGACATGATAACCTCTGGTTCGGTTCTATAGAACTGTTGGTGGAACATCTCTTCCATCTGCTACCAAGAAAGCCCGTTCCAGTTAAGGAATTAGCGAAAAACTTCAACTTCAAGAAGTCATTCTTTCCTACCTTGCCACATTGTACAGTAAACCTAGCAACATGTTTAATAGTGGAATAATAATCTTCACTAGAAAATAAAATAAAATCAGGAACTTTATACCCTCTAGGAAAAATTGTAATTTCTGTTTATTTCTTCTGGATAAGGCTTTCAATAGATGGGCCTGCCAACACGTCTAAGTGCAAGACCGCATTGTTCCTTGATGAGATCCATAACCTAATCCTTGTTCATGGTTGAATTTGGTTGATGTGCCCCCTGATAAGCTCCAGGAGGTGGTTGGTTATAGAAATTCTGACCCCTTTCTTCAGGAATTGGCGCAAAGTTTTGCCTTCTCTGTTCTAGAACTAGAGCAAAGTTCTAGCCTCGTGGATTTGGACAAAAATTATGCACTCCTTGTTCAGGAATGGGAGTGAAGTTCTGCCTCATCGGTTCAGGAATCAGAACATAATTATGGTTTCTCTATTTAAGAATCAGAATAAAATTAAACTTTCTTTGTTCAAGAATCAGAGCAAAATTCTACCCTCTCAATTGCAGAATCGAAGCATAGGGATGCCCTCTATGTTCAGAAATCAAAGCAAAGTTCTGCCCTCTCAGTTATGGAATCAGAGTGTAATTTAATTCTCTCTGTTCTGGAACAGTGAATAGAGGGTTAACTTTTGACCAACCTCGTTGGAACTCAGGCTGATCGCTCAACATAGGCCTATGACCAACATCTTAGACGTTCTGTAGATTTTGGTTCTGAAGGTTTTGGTTGTAAAAGCTCTAGTTTCGAGGATCCTAAAGTTGTAGATTCTGCGAGTTTTGAAGATCTGAGGAATCTGGCTGTCCTTGATTTTGAACGATTGAAACCCAAGAAGTTGCCCCACAGTCTCAATGAAGATGACTTTTAACAAATTTATAGTGCCAAAGATAATTAGACTAAAATTGTAACTTGCATTGATTGAAAATGAAGTACAATTGATAATCTAAGATAACTAAGCTATGAAACTAAAAGAACCAAACTATGAAGCTATGATAAATAAGCTATGAAGCTAAGCTAAGATATTAATCTATGAAGCTAAGCTAAGATAATTAATCTATGAAGCTAAGATAAATAAGCCATGAAGTTGAGATAAATGTATGAAAGACTCTTGGTCAAATGTTTGGTCGGGGACCCCTTCAAATGTTGCTCTTGGAGCCCTTTATATAGTGTTGGTAAAGCCCCTATTTCTGCTCAATTGTCAGGAACATGACAGCTCCTTCTGGTGACATGTGTCTTTGATCCATAACTTGATCTCCCAAGAGTAGGAACAATTTTGATCTTCAAAGGCTAATGCCTATCTCCATCACTTTGAGTTGGTCCATTGAGCTTCCATAGGCCGCCACGTGTCCTTCCATATTCGAATTTGAATTTATTCTGCTTGATTTGTGGAAAAAATCTCCTCTGTTGTTACATGGATCCTCTTTTCTTTAGTGTGCATGTTTATCTTCAAGAAATTCAAAGACCCAATTTTGCTTCATTTGGGAAAATAATTCCTTGATTGTAGCATCTTGTTGATCTTGCACATCTTCATAGGTTAACATGTGTCCCATCAAAAACCTCCTTTGACTTGAGTCAGAGAAAATAGTTCCATTGCTGTAGCCTTATTGTTGATTTGCAAAATCCTTAAATCCCATGCAATCTTTATACTTATCAATCATTTACCAACAAACTATGAGATAAGACACTTTTTAGGAGATGAGCCTTAACAACCTTCTAATTTTTTTGGAGTGGTTAAGGCTTGCCTTATTTATCAAATCTAAATTATTTTATTTAATTAATTAATCAACCAATCAACTTAGTTAATTAATAAAATAAAATAAAATAATTCCCTTTTGCTCCACCACCATTTGACTTCGATGGTGGGTCTCAAAAAATTATTGGCTCTTCATCTTCCATCGCTACGTGGCACAAATAATTTAGGGAAATTGCCACGTGGCAATTTTGAAAAAGGGTTCAAACAAAACCTTAATCTTTTGACTTGCTTTTAATTTAAATCATTTGCATATTTTTGTTAGGAAAAATTGAAGGAAAAAAGTATTTTAGTCATTAAAGTCAATAAAAAATAATGGTTAGTTGGTGAAAAGTCTAATTTCAAGAGGGGGGTAAGGCATTAGATCTAACGATTTTTTATTTTTTTTGTTTTGTTTTGTTTTGTTGAAGGACATTTGTTGGTTAAAAGGACATTACTACCTATATGTTGAAATTTTTATTTTAACCTATCTGTTTAAATCTTTTTTTATCTGTTCAATTTTTTGAAGCTATCTATTTAAATTTGTTTATATCTATCAAAATTGTTTTATATTTTTTAATCTATTTGTTGAAATTTGCCGATACTATTTTTCTTATCTGCTTAATATTTAGGCACTTGGTCCATAAATCCAATTTTGAATTTTTTTCGGCCAAAGGTCTACACTCTAAAATATTGACAAGCTGTTGCAAAATGACTAAACTATCCTGTATATATATATATATAGTTTTCCAAGCAAAACCCTAACCAAACCCCTCTCTCTCTTTCTTCTCTCTTCTATCTCTCTCCTCTCGTCTTCACCACACCGATTAGAACTTTTAGGTGGCGCTGCCACCACCGCTGTCCTTTCCTCTACCGTGCAGCCTCAACCTTTGGAGTTTGTGAAGTAAAGTAATTCTTTTGCTAGACCACTGCCTACTCTCTCAGTTGCCACCGCCTCCAATATGAACCCTAACCCTCTCTCTGTCACTATCGCCACATCTGACATTGCTCCGAGAGAGACCGACGATCATAAACAAATCATGAACTATCAGTGACACTGATGATCTCACCGAATGAACTATCAATGACACTGACGATCTCGATGATCTCTTTCTTCAACCTTAGCCGACTCTAACTCCCCCAAACAACCCTTTGTCATCGGTAATTTATTTTCACATTCTTTGTTTGATTGCTTAGAAAATCTCAAAAGTCTGCTAGCTTTCCTTCTATTTTCTTCAATTTTCTCACATATTAAAATGATTTTAGTTTTTATTTTTTTATTCACTATGTATTTAGGGCTACACTCTTGCTACGATTGATGTGAAATAAATTTTAGTTTGATAAAGTGGTATTTTGATTTTTCATGTTTTGTGAAAATTGAGTAGGAGTTTCGAGAGGTACTGTTTCTGGTAAGACCACAATGTGTGACATGATCATTCAACAACTTCATGATCATTGAGTGATTTAGATCTTGCCTACCATGGTGCTTAGTAAAGCTGCACATCTCCAGCAGTTAATCTTAGCTTCATAGGAAGGAGTAGTTGCTGTTGAAGCAAAACTTGTTGCCAATTCGGACAATCTTGTCGAGCTTGTTTCGGATTGTGAAGTCCCGTAGAACTAAAAGTGTATCCATAGAGAGAAAGAAATGTTGATTTAGGAAGACAATGAAAGATTTGATGAGTTGAAGAATAGTGTTCTTGTTCATCTCTCTGTCTCTCTCTATGATTTCTTTGTGTTTCTTTGCTCCAAATCAGATCCGAACCTTTTTTTTTTGTAATTGTTAATCTATTGTTGTTGTTGTTGTTGATGATGATAATGATTATGATAATCAAACAAATAATTTTTTTTTTTGTGTGTGTATTGAACAAATAAGGATGAAAGAAAGAAAGAGAGAAAAGAAAGATTTGAACAGATAATAAAATATATTTAAAATTTGAACAGATAAAAAAATTAAATAGATAAAAAATTTAAACAGATAAAAAATTAAACATATAGTTTTAAACAAATAAGTTAAAAAAATTTGAACAGATAAGGGGGGAAATTTGAACAGATAGAATTTTTTTGAACAGATAAGGAAAAACTTTGAACAAGTGCGAAAAAAATTTGAACAAATAGTCAACGAAAGTCAACATATAAATTAAGATGTAAAATTAAAAACAAAATGTCCTCCAAAATTGACAAAAGGACTTCTTACCAAACTATTTCACAAATGGTGGACTTTTTATTAACAAAAAATATCCACTATACCTACTGTCTTATACCTTCTTTACATTGGACTTTTCAATAATTATCTCTTAATATTTTTATATTCCACGTATCCCAAATCTCCTCACTCCATATTTAATATTTTTATATTTCACTATCTGTATGCCAAATCTCTTCACCCTCAAAAGCCATAGCAACAAAGTTAGGATGATGGAGTAAGTGACGTAGGGAGATCTTAGTAATGAAGATGGTGAAGCATCCCAACATCGTCGAGATCAAGATCTACTTCACCATGGATGCCACAACCTTTAACTTTATTTTCAGATATAATCAAATACATAATAGTTATAATCAATGCCACTATTTTACTCTCGATCTTATCACTTCCTACGAAGCCGCTTGTAAGTTTGATCCAAACTTTCAATCCTTCAATTCGACCCTTCAAGAGCGCACTAGCAAAGTCATTTCCACTATCGTCATTGATGTCGAGGTCAGATCACTCTCCGCCAACTCCCTTCGTGAAGTCACTGGTTGTTTGCTCAAGATTCATATATGAGGTCTTCAGATTTGAAGGTAGCGATGAAGGCGAGCACTGACAGAGAAGGAAGAAAGAGAAAAAGAAACAAGAGGAAGAAGTACAAGAGAGTAAGAGAAATAGCGTCACGATCGGCCAACGCCGGACGGCGCTTCGATGGTGATGAAGTCTTCCATTCGTTCTCCATTGGAGAGAGAGAGAGAAATAGAGAGAGATGGGTTTGTTTGTACAGATAAAGAATTGTATCCTTAGAGCATTTCTAACGGTGTATCAAATTTTTCATCAAATTTGAATAAAAATTTGAGTAAAAGTTCCATTTGATATCAAGTGCTCTAACAGAGGTTTTTGAAGCTTCATCAGAATGCTAGTCGACCGAGTGGACCACCGGACAGATATCCAGCCAGTCAACCAGCCAGTATAAATTTTTTACAAATTTTTACCTTGAGGTGGTCATCTGGGGGATCCATTGGGTGGATGACCAGGGGGACGACTGGGATCGATCGGTCAATGTAACTTTTTCACGAATTTTTGCCTTGAGGTGGTCATCCAAGGGGACATCTGGTGGTGAAAATTAAACGGCTATGAATAATGATTTGATGAAAGGCACATTGGTCCTCAGTTTGATAAACGAAAAGTGAAATTCTGGATTCGATACCTATTTGATGAAACCGTTGGAACAGGAAAATGAGTGATTTTTTGCCAAATTCAAATTTGATAATAGATTTGAGTAACCATTGGAGATGGTCTTATGGACGTAAAAATGCCCCTATGGATTTAGGCTATGTTTGCCATAAGTTTTTTCTGACTATTTTAGCCATAAAAGATAAAATATGCTAAAAAGTTAATAAGACAAAATATCGTATCCTAACTATAATCATTTCATTTTTTCTCTCACAAAAGTCAAAAAAGCTAAAAAGCCCATCCCAAACGAGACTTTTTAACCCCAAGCTAAAAAAGCCAAAAAATCAAAAAGTCAAAAAGTCAAAAAGTTAACTCACATCCCAAACAAAGGGTTAATAGTTTCGCGTGTGGGGTTTTGGATAGAATAAATCTAAATTTAAATTTTTATGGGTTGAGTGTCCTAAAAAAAATGATATTTTAAACATTTTTTATATACTTATATTGAGTATAATATAGTAATTAAAATATTATTTTCTCATCAATTTTAGTTAATAGAAATAGAGAAATGATTTAGAATGAAAATAAGTTTACATTGATAAAATAAATAAAAAAAAACTCAAAATTTATTTTGTTATAGGGGTCAAATGCTAAAAAAATTTATAATTTTTTTTCTAAATAATTTATCAATATTTATTATGACTATATTTTATCAAATTTATTATGGATTTTGTTAAAATTCCAGCAAGGCTCAAGAAATTTTAAAATGTTGCACATGTTGTATGAAATAAAATAAAATAAAAAATATGTAATATTTTAAAATTATTTTAACATGGGTTATCAACGTAGATGTTAGGGCATCTCCAATGAAATTGTCAAAGGAGCTGCCAAAGTTATAATTTGGCAAGAGTGACAAAAAAAGGTTCCCCAATGGCCTACTATTCTTCTTGCCAAAGATAGTAGATGCCATTTCTGTTCTCAAATTTGACAGGTTGAATAGGAGGTGCCAAACATGCCACATCATTAAATATCAATAGATTTTTGGCTTCAAATTCAGTTGAAAAAATAGAATTCATTCAGTAGAAAAACCTCTCAAATTTCAAAATTAAACCCAAATTTCATAATCAAACTCAAATTTGAAGGAGTTGCCAAATTCACAAATTTCATAAATAGCAGAAAATATTTAAAATAAATAACACAAATTTTAGAATCAATTTAGAACAAATCAAACCCAAGAATTAGTCAAGAACAAATCAACCCAAATTTCACAAATTTGTATAAATCTCATAAACAAATTTAAAAAATAAATACCTAGATCGACCTCTAGGGTTTCTTCTTCATCGAGTTGTAGGGCTTGTTCCTAGACCAATCGAGCTCCATTGAAGTCCAAACAGTGGTGTTCAGTCAAACACTGGAGTTCCATTGAGAGAGAGAGAGAGAGAGAGAGAGAGAGAGAGAAGATTGGTTTCAGAGATCGGAGATCGGCGTTGGTGGTGGTGATACAAATCACAGATAGAGTGACAGAGAGAGAGATAGAGACAGAGAGAGAGAGAAGACTGGTTTTGAAGATCGAAGATCGATGATCGGTTTGAGGACACAGAGAGAAAGAGAGAAAATACACCATCTTAGCCGACTGGTTTGTGGACACAGAGAGAGAGAGAGAGAGAGAGAGAGAGAGAGAGAGAAAGATGCTCTTGAGATCAAAGACGGAGATAGAGAGATGAGAAGACACTATCTCAGCTGACTAGGTTGAGGACAGAGAGAGATGCTCTTGAGATCCAAGACAGAGACAGAGACAAAGAGAGAAGACACCATCTCAGTACCGATCAGTTTGAGGATAGAGAAACAGAAAGGCTTCTGTTTTGAGTTGATATAGGATCGTTCTAAAGGGAAGATCTCAACCGTTGAATTGTTATGCAATCAACGACTGAGATCTTGTTCAATAATCAATGACTGAGATGATTATTATTGTGCAATTTTGTTCATTAAAAATAAATAAATAAATAAAACACAAGTGAAACAGGAAAAAAACGGTCAAATTTTATTTACGGTCAAATTTTTGAAAATTCTCAACGGCCATATTTAGAAAAAAAAGAAGAAGTCATATTTTATAATTCTATAAATATAAACCCTTTTGCTCAATTTCATTTCACAAAAAACCTCCCAAATTACATTTTTATTTATAGTTTTTATCCACATAATCACTATAGAAGGTTCATCAAAAATAAAGGGAGAATAATCATTCACCATTGGTGAAGATGTGGCACTTTATAAAGCTTGGTGTTACATTTTTGAATATCCAATTGTTGGAAATTCACAATCTTATGCTCACTTTTGAGAGAGAATTTATGAAAATTATTGCTCACTTCAGAATGATTAGTTAAGAACACTAGTGTCTATCCAATCTCAATGAGGTATAATGATAAATTTTTCCAACAAATTTTGTGGGTATTTAGCGCAAGTCGAAAATCTACACCCAAGTGGGATGCCTCAAGTTGATATAGTAAGATTTTATTTTCATTTATTATGTTAGTTTTTTGTTTATTTTATTTTGTCTCACGTAAAAATTAACTAATTAATTAATTTAATATTTTATTGATACAAATGCTTCAAGCAAACAAACATTTGCTTTTGAATATTGTTAGCCAATCTTGCAAAACAATATCTGGTGGCAAGATGTAACTCCTACGAACGCAGTGAAGTGAAGGATACATACATCGTTTTCTCCTAATTCAGCCCTCGAATCCCTTATGGATAACTGCATTTCTCTTAAAGACAACAACAGTCCAAGTGTTGGTAACAATCCAACTGTTGGTAATAATCCAATCAGTGAGAGTAGTGTCTCTGCAAGGGGTAAAAGGCTTATGGGTAGAAAATTTGAAAAAGAATTGGTTCGGAAAAGTGAAACTGTTCACATTGAAATCCACAAGTATAACAATTTGTTAGAGACATTTAACCAATACCTTGCTGAGAAGGAAATGAAAAAGGTTGAAAGAGAAGAAAAAAAGATTCAAGCATTGCAGGAGATGAAAGAACTGAACATCAAAAAGGAAGAATGTTTGATAATGACTACAAACATTTTTCATTTAAACCCTCAAACGAAAGCATATTAAATGTGCAAAAATGAGATTTTCGTCAAGTGGTCCGCACATGTCAGCAACTCAAATTACTATATTTCCCTGCATCCTAATGAATAATTATGGGAGAATATATTTTTTAATTTTGCAATGTCATTTATTTTTCAATGCAATTTTGTGTATTTTAATGCAGTTAATAATTTTATTTTTTTTGGTGAATAATAGATGGTTGTTGGTGGGTAGTTGATAATTGTTTATTTTTTTAATGTAGTTAATATATATATATATTTAGTGGTATGTTTTTTGGTGGGGTGAATTATATTTAAATTTTTTTTTGAAAATTTTTCAATTTTTTTTTTATATTATATTTGTCTAGTCGAGTATAATGTGAATGTATAATATTTTTTTACAAAG